AGCATATTGCCCCCAACAACAATCCGGGTCCTCATTTTACCCACCTCGGAAGGATGGAAGGCTGAGTCAACCCTGATAGCCCTGGCCCCCTCTGCGCCTCCGACACAGAGCCCTCATCAGAGCCTTCCCCAGACTCCAGGACTGGCCCAGGTTCCTCCCCAACCCTCCTCACTGTCTGACTCTGCTGCCAGCTTCATTGGCTGCTGGCAGGCCACAACAACCCGCCTCCCCAATTCCGCTGATCCCATTCAACTGATTTTACAGACGGTGATTAAATTCAGTAGCCGAGCTACATCTGGTCAGCAGCGGTCACGCTGTGAGAAAAACAAAAACCCTCAACTTTACAATGATGTAAAAAAAAAAATAATAATTTTCCTGCAAAGGGGACCTCTGCTTTTCTACTTTATCTCCAGCAAGATGGAAAATTTCCTGTGTGATTTCTTTCAATCCATGTTTTTCACTTATCCCGCTTGGCATTCGAACAAAATAATAATTAAGCAGGATGGGGGGGTGGCACGGGGTGGAAAGGCACCATCTTGTCAAGACAAGGAAAGTTTAGGAAAACTTGGTGATAAAATAGGTCGAGATTTTCTCCCGGAGATCCATAACAGAGTCCCAGTTTTCCAGGCCGGCATCATCCTGGATTATTCGCCTTGAAATGTAAGATGCTCGTTTTAGGATGGGAAGCTGTTTCGTTGCTTCATTCTGCTCTCTTTCAGCCGGCCCACCCATCCTGCTCTCAAGGCCCCCGCGACTGTGTGGTGCGGTTTAAAACCCAGCCAAATCTTGTCTGTCCGGCAGAGACCCAAACCAATCCCGCCCCCCCCCCCCGCCCGGCCAAAAGAAAATGCACAGACGTGTCTCCGAACCAGAGTTGTACGCGAGAAATGCTTCATCTTTTACCTAGGCGTTGGAGATGCATGGACTGAGCCAAATTGGGGTCTCTGGGTCAAAGCACACTCTGTGTGTGTGTGTGTGTGTGTGTTTGTGTGTGTGCTAAAAGAATCGGTTGCTCTTCAGATGGATCGCTTGGGCTTTTTCTGCACTGTTTCTGGTCCCTGTGAGCCACCAGCCGAAGCCCAGGTATGTTAGACATGGCACGAACGCGAGATAGGAAGGCCTCGAGCCAAAGGACCAGGAACAGCGGGTTGGAATTTGCAAAGTGGAATCCTTGGCAAGAGGCCGGTAGCTTGTAGCGGAGGAATTCTGGCTGGGATGAAATGCAACCACAGCTTTGCGCCAAGTCAGGTTTGCAAGATTTCTCAACTTTTGACAACTTTAAGCGGGGAGGACTTCAACTCCCAGAATTCCCAAGCCAGCATTTTTTAAGCTGGGTGGACTTCAACTCCCAGAATTCCCAAGCCAGCACGCTTTATGATGGGTGGACTTCAACTCCCAGAATTCCCCAGCCAGCACGCTTTAAGATGGGTGGACTTCAACTCCCAGAATTCCCAAGCCAGCACGCTTTATGATGGGTGGACTTCAACTCCCAGAATTCCCCAGCCAGCATGCTTTATGATGGGTGGACTTCAACTCCCAGAATTCCCCAGCCAGCATGCTTTATGATGGGTGGACTTCAACTCCCAGAATTCCCCAGCCAGCATGTTTTAAA